GAGGAAACGCCCATCTATACCAACATACTTTGTGATGTTAATTACCAAATTTTTCAAAAAATGAGGGGGTACTGTAAAGGGAGAAGTTAGGTACGCGTTTGAGTCGTAAAACATCCTTTACATGGGTTATAATTTTATATTTCCATGCCCATTCCGGTACTTATTGAACGGTAATTAGCAGAAAAGTGGTCGTCGTGCTGCAAAAAATTATTAATCCAAATTTAAAGGAAATTTTGAAGAATTTTAAGATAGAATCAGTAGATGTAGAAACCAGAAAAAAGATTTTAAATTATAAAACCAGAAAAAAGAAGAAAAGATATACAAATGCCCATGGGGAATAAAGTTAGAAGTAGGGGAGTATTTTTTTTTATCTCATTGGATAGGGTAATTATTTTGTAATGTTTTTTTCTTAACAATTTAAAATTCCATAATACATTCTGCCATTCTTATACCATCTATGTATATAAACCCGTTTAGTTTAGATGTAGTTAGTTTAGTGTTATAGATTTCATTTAAAATAGTCCTTTATTTTCCCGCTAGAGATCGTGCAGATGTTACCGGAGGTAAAATTTGTTGTGTGCGCACTACTACCACAACCATTCCCTGTACGGAACAGATTCAATCATTTACTTGTACAGAAGAATACACGCCATACTGTTTCTTCGTCTGCGTCGTGTCATAAAAGGCTTTTAATGGCTGTATAATATTTTGGTGACGTTTTTCTGTTTTGATTTGCTTTCCACGTTTCACTGTTGCGTTTTTCGGTATATTTTTAGTTTCTATGGCCGTTCACGGTACGTACCAACAATTGTGTATTCACTTCGACCTTGAATAATCATTTTTAGGCTTTTTTACTAAATGTTTTATTTTTTCCCTCATTATTACTTATCTGATTATTGCTATCTACATCGATATCCTTTGTGGAAACCGTATACCTTTGGCTTTCCATTATTGCACAAGGAAGTTCCATTGGAAAATTTACGCCATTAGCAAATTTTTGAAAAAAGGAGGGGGTACTGTAAAGGGAGAAGTTAGGCACGCGGTTGTGACAAAACTATCTTATCAATTCTCCCTTAAATGGGTTATAATTTTATATTCCCTGGCCCATTCCGGTTCTTATCGAACGGTAATTGGTAGAAAAGTGGTCATCGTGTTGCAAAAAGTTATTAATCCAAATTGAAAGGAATTCAGGAACCGTCAACGCGGTCCACGAAGATTAACTTCTGTTCCGTTAATATATGAAGAATGCATATGATCAATGAGAACATGATATGAAGAAAAAAAGTGGAAGAATTTTAAGAAAATCAGTTGAAGGAAATCAATGTAGAAACGAGAAGGAAGATTTTAAATTACAAAAGCAGAAAAAAATGTCATACAAATGCCCATGGGAGATAATACAGTTGGAAGTAGGAGAGTGTATATAGTGCACTTTTTATTTCATTGGGTAGGGTAATTATTTTGTAACGTTATTTTCTTAACAATTTAAAATTCCATAATATATTGTGGCATTCTTACGCCATTTTCTTTATAAACCCGTTTAGTTTAGATGTAGTTAGTTTAGTGATATAGATTTCATTTAAAATAGTTCTTTATTTTCCCGCTAGAGATCGTGCAGATGTTTCCGTGGGTAAAATATTTTGCGTGCGCACTACTACCACAACCATTCCCTGTACAGAACAGATTCGATCGTTTACTTGTATAGAAGAATACACGCCATACTTTTTCTTCATCTGCGTCGTGCCAGAAAAGGGTTGTAATGGCTGCATAATATTTTGGTGACGTTTTTTTCTTGAGTCAACCGATATTTAAAAACCCAGATTTATTTCGAATCTAAGAAACAAAGGACGCTTGTCTGATAAGAAAATAGGCCTGGCAACCCGGCGTTTGCGGATCTGGAGGAGAAGTTATTCTACGTGTGCCCCTGTACCCTCGGAAACTGTTGCCGTTATGCGCGTGCACTTCTCTAATTTATTCAGACTGGGCGCCGCCGTTTCGAAAGGCAGGTGGAGGGAGAGAAGTCCGCTCTGTAACGGAGCGTTCCATTATTTGGCATAATTTCCTAATTATTTTCCTGTTTTTTGTGGGCGTGTGATTACTGAATACGGTCCTGACTGTTTAAATTGCGTGTGAAAACTTAAAGCGCCGTGAAGTCGTGCGATTGACACGTTTATTTCAGATTACAGAAACATTTTGTGAATTTTTCAGTTGCGGTTATTAATCCTGGTACACAGCCTGAGATCTGCTGATTCGACGGGAGTTGATGTCAACGAATTTGATTGGACGGGAAAATTTGTTCTTGGAAAGTAGGTCAAGGTAAAGCTCAAAGGGCAAGATTTGGTTATTGTATTTCCTTTTTACATCCCCAGGGTAAATGACCCCATTTTTTGTGTCGTCTAATTAAATTTCTAAGGTCGTACAAGGTCAATGCCTCCATTTTTGTTGGCGTCCACGACCAAAGACCTCCTTTTGTGGTGTCAAATTAAGTTTTTCAAGGTCGTCCAAGGCCATAGACCCAATTTTTTGTAGTATCAGCTTATATTTCCAAAATCATCCATGGTCAATGGTCTAATTTCTTTGTTGTGTCAAATTTTATTTTCTAGGACCGCCAATTTTTGTGAGTCAAATTGTCAAGGTTTTCGTGCCGTTATATTTTGTATTTTTACTTTCTTCATGGGTGTTTTCCCTTAGGGTTCAGCTCGTACAACGTTTCGGAAAAAAATTCGTACGAGCGTCCAGATTAGATTAAGGGAAAATTATTCGGGTCATCCGTAGAGCTTGATCGAGCGTTCCTCAAAAATGCTCGCAAGCATTGGGTTGTTTTTCAATGCGAAACCGCTTGCGAGTTCCGAGCACCCTTCAAAGTGCTCGAGCGGTTTATCTCTAGCGGGAAAAACGCTCAAGAGCGGAAAAAGGGCTCGTGAGCGGAAAAAGAACTTGCGAGCGGAAAAAAACGCTCATGAGCGGAAAAACCGCTCGTATTCAGAAAAAAAAGCACTCGCGCGCCGAGCTCTTTAACTAAACGGTCGAGTATCGAGCACCAAGCAGCCACTCCGAAAAGTGCTCGCGAGCGGAGCGCTCGCAAGCGCTTTTTCCGCTTGGAGCGCTTTTTCGAGCGGAACGTTCGCGAGCAGTACCCAACTCTGGTGATCAGCAGGGAGGGGTGTAACGAATCACTCAGTTTTTATACCGAAATTTATGACCACACCGTATATTTATGGTGTCTACCAGTCTGGCTGGACGCCCGGCATCTGGATGCGATAAAAGTTGGAAGCGCTGGATTACGAACAAGCCGTATTTAATTGTAATTGTCCCCGGGAATAATTAAATTATTTTTGTAGCGTACAATTGTGCATGGAAGGCCATGCAGGTTTACACCGGGACCATTTGCTTGACCTGAGAAAGTCCAAGAGACAATTGTGAGAAATTTCATCTCGCCCATTTGTGAGTATAATTAAACTTTGCTAATTAAATGAGTTGCAGTGAACGACATCCGATTAAGTTGTGAGTGGACCCCAAAGAAGCGCTCTTAATTAATTTTAAGACCAATTACAAAAAACGCCAGCCGGCCGCGCAATTAAATAAAGAAGTCGATCCCTCCATGAAATGGTCGTATTTTGTTAAATGAAAAGTTGTTGATTGGTGAAGATTTTTTGCCTTTTGCATTTTCCCAAGTTACTCGTGCATTGAAAATTACTTTTCTTTTATACCGTATTGTTTATTTTGCGGGTAAGCGTTTGCTATCTTTCTTTCGCTAATTATTAGGGGGGGGGGGATGTATTGTTTTGCTTTTCCTATATTTGATTTCCCGTAGCTATCGCTAAATAATTTGTGCTTTGTCGCTTATGTTCCTGATAGAGAAATTGCTGTTTTGCGTGTGCCGCCGACCTTAACCGGGAGCAAGGTCGCCTCCCTTGGTGGCGCTCAAGTTTACTGTCCCGTTCCGCTGGTACCTGCAGCTGGCGCCGATTTTAGTCCTGAATATGTCAGTCCTTTTTGAATCGTGTCAATTACCATTTGGAAGTAGGAAACGAGGAGTGAGTTATGTTTTCAAATTATTTAATTTCGACATTTGACACGTGACAATGTGGCACAAAGGACGCGACACAGAAGGACTTAAAAATGAAAGTTTCATATCTTACCTTCCTAAAACCGAAGCCAAAATTTTTCAAAAATTATCACTTTTTGATGGTATCTTATTCTTTGGGTCCTGAGGGTTTCAAAAATACCCCCATCGCCTTATTAAAATAGACGGTTTTCTCCGTACGGCACGAATTTTGTTTTTTGAAATTTGCATACTTCCACAAAAAATTAATAATTACGCTAATATTTAAGATATTTGGGCGGTTGACCGGAATTAGAAAGAGGAGACATGAGACTATCGTGTGACACTTTATGCGCTATGAAAAAATGTAAAGTGTGTCTACAAAACGGCACCAAAGTGAAAATGTAAAAACTAACCGAAATGGTCAGAAAAGGGGCACTTTTTGATAAAATTATGTAGGCTTTTCATTACTAAATGATTACTTTACATAACAACCCTTTAATAGATGCTTCCAATCTTGAGGGTAGAGTCGCAAATGCGTTAAATCTGAATCGATATGAAACCTACGATTTTTGCAAAAGTTGTGACAAAAATTTAGAAATTCTGTTTACGTTTAATGAGAGAACTGAATGGAAAGTCTATCTCAAAGATCCCATTCGGTAAGCAAAAAGCCCTTAGAATTTTTTGGAGGTAACTGTAGCGATCCACCTCAATTCTCCTTCAAATGCAATCTTTTTTTAAATAATTGCGACTGCTGCCATTTTTAGTCTAATATTATATATCAAACGCGCTCGTTTGGCCTACTGACTCCAAGTGGGTGGTCCATTGTGAGCTATAAATTGTAGTATTATCTGTGTTGAAGATAACACAAACGTCAGCAATCCATTAAATGACACAGCAACTGTTTCAAAGCCGTCGTATTCGTAAATTATTAGTTCTCGCTCTACTATCCACTTACCATAATCCTCCTCGTAGATGATGGCCACCTTGGTCCAATTAAGAAAGCTCATAATATCCTGGAACGCCGCGTTCAGTAAGTGCTGGGCCGGATGCAGATTAATTGAAAATTCCCTAACGTCCGTGTCCAAATCTAATCGCGCTTCCAAATGCGGAATGTCCAGTGCGTCGCAGATCGAGTGAATGTGTGCTCCCAAAAGGGGATCGGAGGGACCGAATACGGCTTGCACGCCGAGCTGTACCTGGCTGCAGGCTGAAAACAGAAGAATAAAATCGACTGTAATTCCCGAAAGTTAATGCGATCACGAGAATGGATCGCTGACAGTTTAAAAAGTTGTAATTTGAGCAGTTATAATGCGAAGTTAATGCGCCTCCCAGTGTTCTTTTTATCTAGGTCAACTCGAAGTTGTTTTTCTAAGCTTCGAGGCAATCAAGAGACTTTTTACAATAGACATTCGACGTACATAATTTGCATTTTGTATATGATTCCATGAATGGAATGCCAATGGAACAATTCCGAGGGATCGCGTAACTTTTCCAATTTTATTTGAACTTTTTGCGTGACTATCGGGATGTGGAATTGAGATTTGAATACATTTCGAGATTGAAATACTTTAAATATTATGAGACTCGAATAAACACTTCTCAGTTATGTTTTCAAAATTAGGCAGTATCCTTAATGATGAATTCCAAGCGCATATCCATGCCGTATAAATTATCGAGATCTAAATAATTTGTTTAAGTCGCCTTGAACTCCGGATTGAAAGAAACATCGTCCAAGGACAGTAAACGAGGTAACCCGCTTCAATAGATAGAAGATTCCTGAAGGGGATTTCAGGAATTTTTTAAATAGTAGTAGGCAGGCTCCCAAGGATACTTAAACCAATTGCTAACATGTGAGAGTTAAAGAATAAGCTTTCAAGCTTTGTATAGATATACTCATGAGGGATTTCGTATCATTCCGATAAAGTTTCCAGCAAAATTTCGTGAGTAAAAGGATTATAGCGAGGGTTGCAGCCTACAGCTTATACAACATTATTTTTATAAACTAACGAGGTCTCTGAAAGGTTTTAAAACGTTTGAAAAAGAGGGAGATACTAAAAATGTTCCAAAAAGGTTTGAGATACCTGAGAAAATTTCTTAGATGCACAGATGTTTCTCAACTAAATTAGTAAAAGGATCACCGATATCAAGAGTGATACTTTTAAGCAGGTCTCTAAGCGGAGTCTCTAGGAGAGTTTCCCCAATGCACGCTACATACATTTTTATTTAATTCACGGGAAACTGATCTATTTCTTGCAAAAGTGCGCTCGTACATTTATAATTTTTCGATAGCCTTAGACACGAAAATCTAGTGCACGCTCATTTTACCGATAGTGTTTGTTTTTACTAAATTTCCATCATAATCCTTTCTGAATGGGTTCAATTAACTTTCAGTTAATTTACCTTCCAGAAAACTATGGCGTTGGCAAGATCACCAACGGCGGTTTTTTTCAAATTCGGTTATTTACGGATCTTCTATTTTTTATACTGACTGTAACTTTAATTACTTCTTCTTTCTTCATTAAGGTTTATCCGCTTACTCCCAGGAAAACAATCCTCACGTCCTTTTCAATTTAACAAAGCCCGCCTACGAAATGGTGCTAATAGGTTAAAGCGGCCATCTTTAATCGATTGCGATTCAGTAAGCACCATCTATCAAAACCAATCAGAGCTCGAGATCGCTTAGTTCGTGCTTACTTATGCGCGGCATCCAACCAGGTGCGTCCCCAGGTGGCGGATAGGAGAACGGCATAGGTTGTTGCTAGGGATAAGGACGCTCGTCGTATACGAAACAGTGACTGGCAGCGATCAGCTAACCCGCCCGGCTGTCGCGTCGTGGCCTAAGGCTTGCACGGGGTTAATCGGCTCCGACACGTGTTTACGTCCGCAAACCGTGTCGATACACATTTTATACAACCCTACATTTTCCCTGCCCTTGACCTTCAATTTTGCATTTTAATTATATTTAAAGATTCCGAATAGTCGGTCCTGGATCCTGAATCCTTTCCCTCAAATTCTGACACCTGAATTTTTGATTCCACAATTTGGATTCTAGATTCGCAGATTAATAGACTCGTCTTGCCTTTAGTCCTGGATTCTGGAATGTAAATAGAATTTAAAATTCAACCCTACATTTTTCTGCCCTTGACCATTTTGCATTTTGGGTATATTTAAAGATTCCGAATAGTCAGTCCTGCATCCTGAATCCTTTCCCTCAAATTCTGACACCTGAACTTTTGACTACAATTTGGATTCTAGATTCCCAGTTTAATAGATTTGTCTTGGCTTTGGTCTAGATTCTAGAATGTAAATAGAATTTAAAATCCAACCCTACATTTCCCCTGCCCTTGACTTTAAATTTTGCATTTTAGATATATTTAAAGATTCCGAATAGTCAGTCCTGGATCCTGAATCCTTTCCCTCAAATTCCGATACCTGAACTTTTGATTCTACAATTTGGATTTTAGATTCCCAGATTAATATGTTTGTCTTGCCTTTGGTCCTGGATTCTAGAATGTAAATAGAATTTAAAATCCAACCCTACATTTCCCCTGCCCTTGACTTTAAATTTTGCATTTTAGATATATTTAAAGATTCCGGATAGTCAGTTCTGGATCCTGAATCCTTTCCCTCAAATTCTGACACCTGAAATTTTGATTCTACAATTTGGATTCTAGAATCCCAGATTAATAGGTTTGTCTTGCTTTTGGTCCTGGATTCTAGAATGTAAATAGAAATTAATACCTAACCCTACATTTTCCCTGCTCTTGACCTTCAATTTTGCATTTTGAATATATTTAAAGGTTCCGGATAGTGAGTCCTGGATCCTGAATCCTTTCCCTCAAATTCTGACACCTAAACTTTTGATTCTACAATTTGAATTCTAGATTCCCAGATTAATAGATTTGTCTTGCCTTTGATCCTGCATTCTAAAATATAAATAGAATTCAAAATCCAACCCTACATTTTCCCTGCCCTTGATCTTCAATTTTGCATTTTGGATATATTTAAAGGTTCCGAATAGTCAGTCCTGCATCCCGAATTTTTTCCCTCAAATTCTGACACCTGAACTTTTGATTCTACAATTTGAATTCTAGATTCCCAGATTAATAGATTTGCCTTGCTTTTGGCCCTGGATTCTGGAATGTAAATAGAATTTAAAATTCAACCCTACATTTTCCCTGCCCTTGACTTTAAATTTTGCATTTTGGGTTTATTTAAAGATTCCGAATAGTCAGTCCTGGATCCTGAATTCTTTCTCTCAAATTCTGACACCTACACTTTAGATTCTACAATTTGGTTTCTAGATTCCCAGATTAATAGATTTGCCTTGCTTTTGGTCCTGGATTCTGGAATGTAAATAGAATTTAAAATTCAACCCTACATTTTCCCTGCCCTTGACTTTAAATTTTGCATTTTGGGTTTATTTAAAGATTCCGAATAGTCAGTCCTGGATCCTGAATTCTTTCTCTCAAATTCTGACACCTACACTTTAGATTCTACAATTTGGTTTCTAGATTCCCAGATTAATAGATTTGCCTTGCTTTTGGTCCTGGATTCTGGAATGTAAATAGAATTTAAAATCCAACCCTACATGCTCCCTGCCCTTGACCTTCAATTTTGCATTTTGGATTTATTTAAAGATTCCGAATAGTCAGTCCTTGATCCTGAATCCTTTCTTTCAAATTCTGACACCTAAACTTTTGATTCTACAATTTGCATTCTAGATTCCCACATTAATAGATTTGCTTTGCCTTTGGTCCTGTATTCTAGAATGTAAATAGAGTTTAAAATCCAATCCCACATTTTTCCTGCCCTTTACTTTCAATTTTGCATTTTGGATATATTTAAAGGTTCCGAATAGTCAGTCCTGGATCCCGAATCCTTTCCCTCAAATTCTGACACCTAAACTTGTGATTCTACAATTTGGATTCTCGATTCCCAGTATAATAGATTTGTCATGCCTTGAGTCCTGGATTTTAGAATGTAAATAGAATAAAAAATTCAACCCTACATTTTCCCTGCCCTTCACCTTCAATTTTGCATTTTGGGTATTTTTAAAGGTTCCGGATATTCTGGATCCTGAATCCTTTTCCTCAAATTCTGACACCAGAACTTTTCTAGATTCCCAAATTAATAGACTTGTCTTTGGTTCTGGATTCTAGAACGTAAATAGAATTTAAAATCCCAAGTCAGCGGACCAATGAAACTTAAATGGATCTACAGGCATTTAGCTAACTTTTATTCATTGCCACCTTCTAGAGACGCTTTACTTTATTATAGCGACGTTAGTCTTAGTTTCGTGTTCAATCCCAAAGTGTAATGTCACTTGATATTATTCCACGAACTCTATAAGCGCCTATCACCATGATTTATGTGTCCGGAAAAGCCCCGAAGTTCTATTACAAGCACAAAACATCTACGAACAGTAGCAAAAAGTACTTCCCCAACCGAGACCAACCTACGTATGGTCAAATTCATTACTCCTTTATTTAATTGAGAATTTTAACTACCCTCTTAGAACATTAACCCCTACTTCAAAAAAAGCAAATATTAATATACAAGCGGAAATTCTGAGTAAACGTAATAAGAAAAACTCATTTATCGGTGATTACATTTAATACCTCCGTTAACCTACTTTTATGGGATATTGACTGCGGGGCGCTATTCTTAAGGGGAACTGATTATAACGAATACGCTCAAATTTATCCAAAGGATAGCCGATAATTACCTACCGCCTTCCTTTTTATTACACTATAATCTCTGTATTAGGACATAACTCTTCGATGAATTAATAATTAGTTTCGCCGGCGGCGGCTGTAATTAGGTCGGGGAATTGTACGAGTAAGTTGCGCCGTTCCTGTAATCAACCTAATGGGGTTTCCGTGATTTGTTGGGTCTGCCACCGGAACCAATTATTTGCATCATTTAAAACCGTTTTGATTCGTTATATTGTGAGCAGCGACCGCTTTCTACGGTTTCGCAATGTAAATAGTGGAAATGACATGTCCGCGCCATACGAAATAGTCATGTCGAAGTAGAAAATTTGAAAAATATGCGTTTAAATAGAAGGAACTGTAGCAGTAAGTTTAAAAGGGCAAACTTTCTCTGGAGTGTTACGTTTGGAAATCGGGGTCTTTGATATTTAGGCTTATTCGTGAAAATTTCATTTTGCGGAACGGACTCGACATTTCCATTAGTGTGGAGAGA